ATGAGCAAGCACGTTGGCGACAGTGGGAAGGAAAAACTGCCTATTAACAGGAAGAAACCTCCAGCAGAACCAGGCTCAGGGAGGGGCGGCCATCTACTTCAACCGGTTGGGGTGATAGAAGGAAAGAACATGATTTCAGTGTAAGCTGCCAGTATTATCCAACATGATCTGACAGCAGCTCATTTACAGTTTTATAGAATGTGAGGCTGTTTAGAAAATCTGGAAATGTAACACACAGGGTTTGAGTATATCATATGATTATAGTTTATGATGTTGTAGTGTATCATTAAATTATTGTACAGTTAAATCCTTTCATCTGACTTACTTTAGTGCCCACATGATGTAGAACCATTGGAAATTATTTTTGAGTGGATATCCTGATCCTTACATCACTTATTTCCATATTTGTTTGTGTTTTTGTGTGATGACATAAAAAAAAAATCCAAATGAGGCATTAAAATTCAAAACAAACTGTTTATCCAATTTCATAGAAAACATCTGTTTACAATGTAATCATTGGAAAAGTGCAGAACAGAATGACAAGTCCTTGTGATCACAAGAGAAAATAGTTTTATAGATTCATAGGAACTCACACTACCAGCAGGAAAGGAGTAGCTCCCATTGCACAGCAATGTTTCCTGTCTTTTTTCACACAGAAAGCAAGTAAAAGTAGGGACTGAAACTATCACTGACTACCAGGCAAATACTGTAAAAAGAAAAAGTATGTTGTGTCATGTAGATATGTAGATTTAACATGCGACTTCAGCATAAAACAAGCCTGTGCTCTGGATTAGACTTATTCAACCAACAGCATGCTCTGAAGTTACAATAAACTGTATGTGTTTCTTTATTAACCAGAGCACAGCAGAGGTCTGCAGGCATGAGATAACTCCAGGATTTAAAAGTGTTTTTTAAACCCTTTTTAAGTGTAAGACTCAAAATATTTTTTGCCTGTTTTCAGTTAACCTGTTCGGTAACTCCAAATTCCATTTCTTGTTAGAAAAGACTGTAAACAAACATATTGTACTGTAGTGGTTGCAGATGTGTTGAAATGAACATTTACTCTGAACATTTCCAAGTGTATATTCGTCTTATAGTAGTCTAAGCAAAGCCCGTTCATTTTCCCTAATCTGTTCACAAGATGGGGTAGCTAGCGAGGTTGGTGATGCCGCAGAGGTTGCCACGGTTACGTGCCATCAGGATGTATCCCTTGTTGCCCCATTCCTCACCCCAGCTGTGAAGAAAAGACAAAAGATGGAGTCAAGATGGAACGACGGAGACAATGAAATATCGCCAGGAGTCAAACAGCATTTCAGCTTATCATTTTGACAGATGACATGAAAACAACAACCAACCAACACTTAATTTTAGTGGACATTTGAGCCACCTGATGCCATTCAGACAAGTGACATGTCCCACCTGTTCTTGACAATCCAGTACTTCTTCCCCTTGGTGTTCACTCCATAGCCTACTGCCAGTACGGCATGATTGACGTCATCTTTGTTACAGTTGGGATC